AGCAGAAGGAGGATGAGGAGGACGTGAACGATGGGCGCCCTCGCCTGCACTCGGGAGGAGGCGAGAGGTATAAGTCGGAGGTGGATTGGATGGTAAAAGCGAGAAGTTGAAGGTTGAGAGGAGGAGGAGAAGGAGAAGGAGAAGGAGGAGGAGGAGGAGGAGGAGGAGGAGGAGGAGGGGGAGGAGGAGGGAGGGGAGGAGGAGGAGGAGGAGGAGGGGGAGAAGGGGAGAAGGATGAGGAGGAGGAGGAGGAGGGGGATGAGGAGGAGGAGGTGGAGGAGGACCAGTGTAAAGCCAAGATTCACCAACGATGTTGGATGAAACCCTCCACCAAGCTCTCTGTTCACAGGCCCCTACAAGGATTCATTTCCACTGAGGGAAGTGCCCCGTTGGGAGACAGACGTTTGAAGATCCTGAAACGTGCCAAAACATCATTCTCGGGACTCCAGCGCCACGAATCAGTTGACTGTTGCGTCTGCCCGCCCTCCACCCGCGAATCTGCTGCAAACTTTGAAAACTGATATACGAGGCGGTGAAACGAACACGACATTTTGAACACCGCCCTCCATTCGTGAAAGAAACTGTTTCAAATTCCATGCTTGGGGACCATCGGCGGTGAGGAAGTCTCAGGCGAAACGCCCGGCCCGCCTTACCGACACGGGGGGGGGGCAAGGAGGAATAATCTATAAGGAGGGATTGAGGAGCAGGAGGGGATACCAGGCGAGGGAAGGGAAGGAAGAGGAGGAGGGGGGCAGCGTCACCATGTGGATGAGGAGTAAGAGGAGGCGAAGGAGGAGGAGGAGGAGGAGGAGGAGGAGGAGGAGGAGGAGGAGGAGGTTGAGGAGGAGCAGAAGAAGGAGGAGGATGCGGAGGGCGGAGGAGGAGGAGGAGGAGGAGGAGGAGGAGGAGGAGGAGGAGGAGGAGGAGGAGGAGGAGAGGGAAGGGGAGGAGCAACATAATCGTGCCGATAGCCTCGGCGCGCGAGGCGGGGCCAGGCTGGCAGGAGGGGTGGCCGGGCGCCGTGCCTTCAGCTGGTAGGTGTTGCACATCTTCCTGGCGCGCCGTCTGCTCTGAGATGGGCAGGCGGATGGTGATGAGAAGGTGGAGCGCCGCCTCCTTCTCCTCCTCCTCCTCTTCCTCCTCTTCCTCCTCTCTCCTCCTCCTCCTCCTCCCTCCTCCTCCTCCTCCCCCTCCCCCTCCCCCTCCCCCTCCCCCTCCTCCTCCTCCTCCTTCTCCTCCTGCTCCTCTTCCTCCTCCTCTTCCTCTTCCTCGTCCTCGTCCTCGTCTTCGTCCTCGGTCTCGTGAGGGGCCCAGAAGGCTTCTCAGAAGGCAGGAGGCCTTCGGAGCCTTCTGGGAAGTCCCGCCCTCTCCGCCTTCCCCCCGGGCGCGCCGCCGAGGAAAGAGAGGAAACAATCGAGAAGCGCGAGGCGAGCAGGCAGAGGAGGAGGAGGAGGAGGAGGAGGAGGAGGAGGAGGAGGAGGAGTAGGAGGAGGAGGAGGAGGAGGAGGAGAGATGAAGAGCTGGGAGCAAGGGAGGAGGATGAGCAACAAAAGCATGACGAGGATGCGGATTATGTGGCGGAGGAGGAGGAGGAGGAGGAGGAGGAGGAGGTGGAGGAGAGTAAAGAAGTTGCGGCGGCGTAGCGTGACACATGGCAGTGGACGGCGAACGGAGAAGGAGTACAGGGACGCAACATCGGCGTCCGCAGCAGTACTCTCTGCCAGTAAGAGGGACGCTCGATCTGACGAGCCCGCGACGAGTGCCCTTGGATAAACAAGACGAGACCCCACATCGACAGGTGGAGCCATGAACTAATAATGAATCAATGTAATCTGCGCACTTCTGCGGGGCGGAGAGCAGGAGAAACAGAGCAGATGATGCAATGGAGTGGAAACCTGTGCTAGCAGGGTGAGTGCACAATGCGACGCTAACAACTCCTCCTCCTTCTCCACTTCCATTGGGCATGGTCCTTAGCTCTGCGTTCTCTTTGAGAAGGTCATAGCATATGGCAGGTACCTCCACACCCCACCCATTCCTTTCCGTGGCCCTCGATTTCGCGCTCCTTGCTCCCTCGAGGAGGGGACAGAAAGAGGACAACGGGAATTGGAAAGAGGAGGGAGGAGGAGGGAGGAGGATGAGCAAGAGGAGGAGGAGGAGGAGAAAGAGGAGAAGGAGGGATGAGGAGGAGAAGAGGGAGAAGGAGGAGGAGGAAGAGAAGATCGATAGGTGGGGGAAATTGGGCAGAAGGAGAAAGGGGAGGAGGAATCGACATAGACTGGGGGAAAGGAAGAGGGAGGGCCGGAGGGAGCCATCTCTCTTTCTCTTTCTCCCTTGATATATGTATATGTTAGCCATGGTGGACCCCGAATGATAAGTTCTTGCGCTGTGAATGCAGTACTTCTGTGGTGGCCGAGGCCAGGAGGGTCTATACACCAACCCAGGGCCAAGGATGGCACTGGCCTGGCACGGTGGTGGCGCACGGATGCCTTCGTCGGGAAGACAAGCAAGAGCCCACAAATGCAAGCACGGCGTGGGGAGCATTTTTTGTTTGTTCGTTGTTTGTTTTTTGTTGTTGTTCTCTCTCTCTCTCTCTTTCTCTCTCTCTCTCTCGCAGGAGGCGGTGGTGTGTGCGTGCGTCTGCTCTCTCTCTCTCTCTCTCGCCTCGCCGTGCCTCCGCGCTGCTCCGTCCCGGGGCCCTCGCCTCTCCGCGGCCTCCCCTCCCCCCCGGGCTGCCCGCCTCCTCCTCTGCTCCCGCTGCGCCCTCGCGCCCCCGGGGGCCTCCGCCGCTCCCGGCCCGCCCTTCCCTTCTGCGCTCGGTGGCTCCAAGAGGGGGCCCGGAGGACTGGGGTCCTGAGCACGAGGTGCTTCAAACGACGCAGATCCACCCTCGGAGCCCTCCCCATCCTCAGGACGCCAGCCCTCAAGACCCCATCCGTGAATGCCGCGGCGCGAGCGGTCGCCTGTCCGTGAGCGAGTGGAAGGTGAACTGTGCTCGGTGTCTCCATGTGGCCAAGGCCGGTTCGGACCTGGCTCTGATGGTGTGTCCAGGATCTCCTCCTGTCCTCCTCCAATTGCGTGGCAGCGAGAGTGCTCACTGTCATAGCTTGCAGGCTGCTTGGAAGACGCGCTCAGGTACTTTCATTTATGGCGTGCTGTGTGGAGCATTTGTGGATTAGGGGACATGTCCTTTACTGGTCGGACAAGAAGGCCCATCAGCTGCGGAGCCTCCACTCTGGGCCGCATCCGCAGCACCGCAAGCACCATGAAAAGGTGGCCTTGGTCTAAGAGGGACCTGCGCTTGACAACGAGGGTGCTCGGATGCGTAGCTGAGTGGGGGAACGGGCATCGTCTTGCAGCTGCTCCGACGGGATTCTGGGCCCCCCTGGGATGGACGCCCTTCGGCTCGTCTGCAGGCTCGCGAAGCCCAGGCCGACAAATTCACGGCACGGCCCTGGAAAGTACCGAATTCTTGGTCGGGCCCCTGCGTTCGCTATGTGGTGCTCTGGGGACCCGGGTGCTGGGTTTGTCGATTGCTGAATTTCGTCCTGGCCTAGGCGCTTGGAGTAGTGTCGTCATGCCGGTGCTGTTGCAGCTGCATCTGTTTGGGTCCCCTCCCTCTTGGATCGCTTCCCCTGGACACTTGCGGCCTCTGCTGACTCGTTTAAAATGCGTACCTTGCGTTGCGCCCTGTCCCCATGCCGCGAAGTTCGAAAAGTCCTCTCTCCCTCTCCTCCTCCTCGTCGTCCTCCTCCTCCTCCTCCTCCTCCTCCTCGTTCCATCTCTCCTCCCTTCCCCTCCTCCTCATCCTCCTCCTCCTTCTTCTTCGTCTTATCCTCCTCCTCCTCCCCCTCCTCCTCCTCCTCCCCCTCCTCCTCCTCCTCCTCCTCCTCCTCCTCCTCCTCCTCCTCCTCCTCCTCCTCCTCCCCCTCCCACTCCTCTCTCCTCATCCTCTCTGCACCCTCCCGCGATGGACGACGAAAACGCACGTTGACGAAGACGACGAAGATGTGGACGATTATGACGGCGGCGACCTTCATAACGACGGCGGCGACGGCGACCTTCATATCCGTCGTCGCCGTCTGCCTCATCATCTAGCTCGTCTTTGTCGTCCTGTTCTTGTGTTGTGTGCTTCTGAAGAGACCACATCGCCCCCACCCGGTTCGACATGCTCGACCAAAGCATGCCCTGCTGAAATCGTCGGAACGCTTTTCACTCCAGGGAGAAATGCCGTCGCCAGATGGTCACATTGCCCGTGGCACATGGAACGAAGCAAACCACATCGAAGCACGACGAGCGAAGCCGTACCAGCGAGTCAGGAGGTGAGCAAACACCGCTCGCAGAAGTGAGCGCCGCGATGTAAGAAAATCGTCCAGATCCGAGCTGGCCGAAGAAAGCGCGCGTGTGGGAGGAGGAGGACGAGGAGGAGGAGGAGGAGGAGGAGGAGGAAGAGGGTAGAGGAGGAGGAGGAGGAGGAGGAGGAGGAGGAGGAGGTGTACCCGAACCGCTCTCCGCTTGGCCGCCGCAGGCCCCGCTGCCAGAAGCGCAAGAGGCTATGGCCCCGGTGCGCTGCGCCCCGACCTCCTGCAGCCTGCAGATGGAGCGCCCGCCACAGGCGTGGGCTCAGTGCGTCCCTGCTGCCCGAGCATAACAGGATGACAAGCTGCAGAAGAATGAACCTTGGCGTCGCCGTCCCCGTCCTCCTCCTCCTCCTCCCTCCTCCTCCCCCTCCTCCTCCTCCTCCTCCTCCTCCTCCTCCTCCTCCTCTTCCTCCCCCTCCTCCTCCCTCTCCTCCTCCCCCCTGCGGTCGTGAAACCTCTGCTCCGCGCGTCGCGGCGGCGGCCCCTCGCGGGGCGGAAGGCGGCGAGAAAGCTCGGGACATTGACGCCTGGGCTTTGGGAAGTGGCTCGCGTGCCGCGCCGGAGCGGGACGGTTAAGGGTTACGTGGCTCTGTCTTCTTCTCTTTCTTCGTCTCCTTCTTCTTATTCTTCTTCTTTTTATCATTATTCTTCTTTGCTCTTTCTTCTCCTTCTTATATTTAGGAGAGAGAGAGAGAGAGAGAGAGCGAGCGAGAGAGAGAGAGAGAGACATCCGCTCCGACGCACGGCCTGAGCATGCGCCCGCGTCTCGCGTCCCCGCGCCGACGTGGCACCTTGCGGCCCTCCTCCTCCTCCTCCTCCTCCTCCTCCTCCTCCTCCTCCTCCTCCTCCTCTACTCCATCCTCTCCTCCTCCTCCTCCTCCTGTTATCCTCCTCCTCCTCCTCCTCCTCCTCTGTCTCTATCTCTCCTCATCTTCCTCCTTCTCCTCCTCTTCTTTTTACCGCACCTCCCCTCTCCTCCTCCTCCTACTCCTCCTCTTCCCCCTCCTCCTCCCGCTCCACATTTTCCTCCAGGGGGCTCCAAGCAGCGGCCTCTCACAGCTCTGCGACCGCTGCCCTGCCAGAAGTGAACCCAAGCAGGAAGCACAGCAGGAGGGCGTTCTCGCTGAACTGGAACAGAGCTTCTATGCAGAAAATGTAGCTGTGATATTTGATTGGCACTGGCGACCGTCTGAGAAGACCATCGTAGAGAGACCGCGCAGCGCGATTTCCGTTCATGCGCAGGCCCTGGCAGACACTGCACATAAAGAAATTCAGTGTAAAGCCCAATCCCCAAATGTTATTCCCAGAGAAGCAATCCACCCCAAACACCCACTTATTGGCTAAAAAATGGTCGGCTATATCCGCCACCGTGCCTCTGGCACGAAATTGACTGCCCCGGCTCACGGCTGTGCTGCTGCTGCTGCTGCTGCTGCTGCAACTCAGCTTGTTGTAAGCTCTTGAGGGCACGGACCCACGATGTTCTTGTCCCTTCCGGGGCCTCGGGGTGTTCCTCTTGAGTGCTGGGGTGTTTCATGCTGGTCCTCTGGACGCTGTGCTCGCCCACAACGACCTCCCGAACCCTCCCATGTGGCCAAGAGGCCTCCAGATTGCTCAAGAGGCCTCCGAGACGGCCCAAGCAGCCTCCAAGAGCACTGCCAAGAGGGCCTAGGCGCAGGTGATCGAGGTTTGTGAAAGATTTGGGTGTTTCCGACTTTTTTGGTTCCCGCCGCTCCAAGGCAGCCCAAGGGGCCCCCAAGATCGCCCAAGATGGCCTCCAAGAGGGCCAAGATGGCCTCCAAGATGGCCCCGAAGCGCCCCAAGAGGGCCCCAAGTCGGCCCAGAACGGCCCCCAAGACGGCTCCCGACGGCGTCAGACGTGCCAGGAACCCACCAAGATGGCCGAAGTTGGGTCGAAGCTGGCCCAAGACGGCCCAAGAGGCCCCCAAGAGGGCCTCCAGCAAGGCCAGAAGATGCCAAAAACATTGATTTTCCTTTGGCTTTTGACGGATTTTGACATTTGCTTCTTTTCGGCCTTCCGACGGCCCGAGACGACCCAAGAGCCCCCAAAGATCGCCGAAAGATCTCCCAAGAGGCCTCCAAGATGGCCCCAGAACCGCCCAAGAGGGCCCCAAGACGGCACAGCATGCCTTCAAGACGCCCAAGATGGCCTCCAAAACGGCCCTGGAGCATTCCAAAAGGGCCCCAAGTCGGCCCATAGTGGCCCTCCAAACGGGTTCCGACGGCGTCAGACGGACCAGGAGCCCACCAAGGCGGCCGAACATGGCCCTAAGATGGCCCAAGGCGGCCCAAGAGGCCTCCAAGAGGGCCTCTAGGAAGGCCCGAAAAGGCCAAAATCATTGATTCCCCATGGGTTTCTGAAGGATTGTGGCATTTGTTTTTTTCTTCCTTCCGACGGCCCGAGACGGCCCAAGAGGGTCAAAATGGCCTCCAGACGGCCAAGCTGACCTTCAAGATGCCCACGTGTTCCCCGAAGGCTTTCCAAACCGATTCGGGGAACACATGGTCCGATAGCTTGGCAGGTCTGGCCTCAACGTTCAGCCACATAGGCGCTTCCAAAAAGGCAGGGGGCGGCGGTGATTCGCCGAAGGCGTCTTCGATAAATGGATGCGCCAATGCAGTGAATCTTATCGTCGTGCCCCATCGCAACATCTTCGCGAAGTGGTGTCATTAGTACAGTCACGAAACCAGCGAGGAACATTGTGATTGCCCATAGCTGAATGCCGAGCGCGTTGCTTTGCTGATGCAAAAACATGGAGTCCGCCACCGTGCCCTCAGGTCCTTTGCCTGGTCCCCTGAGCCCCAATCCTCTATCCTGACACTTCTGAAAAGTCGGGAGCGGCCAAGAGGGGGGTAACCAAGAGGGGGGGGTGCAAATCATGGCCGGCGGCATGTGCGCGGCCCAGCGGGGGGGCCAGGGACGTAATGAAAGAAGAAGGGGCGCCATGAGATCTGGGGCAATATCATGGCCCCCGCCATGATGTCCCCCCCCCCCTAGTCATCACCCCCCTCTTTGCATATCCCCCCCTAGTCATCACCCCCCTCTTTGCCGCCCCCGATGGAAAGGGGTCTGGAGCCCAAATCGCCCCATCTGCCCGGCCTTGCCGCGTCGCGTCGGGGATCCGGCGCACCTCCGCGCGGGCGCAGGAGGGCCCCAACGCAAGCCCAGGGGGCCCCCAAAGAGGCCACCAAGACGGTCCGAGAGGGCCCCGGGTCGCTGCACGAGCGCCCCAAGACGGCCAAGATGGCCTCGAGACGGCCCCTGAAGGCTCCACAAACCCCCAGGAGGCCTCCCAAGGAGGCCCCAAGAAGCAAGCATCACGGCTGTTCCTGACATTTGAAGGATTTTGGCGTTCTCGTCTTCAACACAGCCAAAGAGGCCCAGAAGATCGCCCCAAGATGGCCCCCAAAGCCCCCAAGAGGGCCCAAGGTGGCTCAAGAGGGCCCCAAGATGGCCCAAGAGGGCCCAAAGACGGCTCCAAGAGGACGTCCAGATGGGGAACCCGACTGGACATTTCGAGTCCTCGGCCCCCGAAGGGGCCTCCAGGAGGCCCCAAGAGACCCGCAGAAGTCCCCCAAGAGGCCCCAAGATGCCCCCAAAGAGGCCCCCAAAGAGGCCCCCCAAAGAGGCCCCCCAAGAGGCCCCCAAGAGGCCGCGAAACTGCCTCCAAGAGGCCCCCGAGAGCGCGCCGAAGAGATCCCTACGAACTCTGACCCACAACCCAGGCTCGGTGGTGGGATGGGCCGAAGGCCATTCGATACAAAAGAAATCCCCACCCAATCAACCACGTGCAGCTGCCGAAGTAGCGCGGCAAACCCTTGCGAGTCATCCACGATATGCTGCATGGGAACTTTGCGTTCTGCCCGTCGCCGCCGCACCAGTACTTGAACGGCGCCATGTAATAGAGAGGAAAAGGCACAACCAAACCTGCAATGAAGGTCCACTTGGCAACGCTGATGTAGAACACTTGCGCAGGCGAGAAATGCACCTCCCCGAACGGAGAGGACGCCAGCGAAAGTAGGCTCCACATCGCCCTTGTGCCTGGCGCTTGCGGCAATCCCGCTCTCGCGGGACCGAGGACCCCCGTGGCCCTACAGTTTCTTGACCCTCAGTGGACGAAACGATGCTCGGGGCAGCAGTATTGAATAGAGAGAGAGAGAGAGAGTAGGAATGCGGTGGGGCAAGCTAGCCAGGGTGGGGTGGCACGATCGAGGCTCCATCGAGGCGTGTATAGTGGCACGATCGAGGCTCCAAGACAGCCCCAAAGGCCCCCAAGACGGCCCCTAGCCCCGATACGGCCCAGAAATACCCGGTAAGAAGCCCCCACGAGGCCCCGGGAGGTCCCACATATGCCTCAAGGACCCCCCGCCCCCCCCCCCAGGCGGCCGCCCCGGCGCGGTGGCGGAGTCGGCAACGCAATTGGGTAGATACACACAGACGCGAATCAGGCACCTACGCACGCACGGACACGTAGTCATACACAGGCACATACGCACACACGCACACATGCACACACTCACACACATAGATCCACACACATATGTATATAAACATATTTGTATACACCCAAGACTGCATTAGCGCTTCGCGCAAGGCACCTTGATCCTTGAATATTGGCATGGAAGCGGAAGTCGCGGCGGAAGGGCAGGAAGGTAAAGCAGAACAAATAGCGATATTTCCGCGTTGGCTTGTCCGTCATCGTCGTCGTAATAATGTAAGTCGGTGTCCTTCCCTCATGCTTCCTCTTACTCTTCCTCATTCTCGCTCTCCTCTGCGAATTATTCTCCATCCTACTCTGCCATTTTTGTGGAGGCTCCTCCTTAGAGAGTTTCTTGGGGGCCTCATGAAAGTTTTACCGGGCTTCTTGGGGCCTTCTGGAGGCCCCCTGGGCGCCTTCTGGGGCCCTCTGGGGGATCGGGCCACCCTGCTTTCAACTACGGTTTCCCTGGACGGCCGGGTCATGATCTGGAATGCTTCGGGGGGCGTCTTGGCGCCATCTTGGGCCGTCATGGGGCTCTCTTCGGGCCATCTTTGGGCCCTGTTGGGTTTTGGGGGGTCTCTAGGACTGCCTAGCCCTTTCGGGTAGTTCTGGCGTGATTTTCCGGCCTTCTGGGCGGTCTCGGACGCCTGGAAGACCGAAGAACAGAGCATCCCCTGAGTCGTTGTTTTGACGGGCCCGGACCCCAGAGGCAGAAAATTGCGAAAGACGCTCCTCTGGATTATTTCTATACGTTGCACCTGAGGGATCTTACTCGTCACAGAGGCCTCGAAGAGGCCTCTGAGTGGCCTCTGAGGCGACGGTCGCGGACCTCTGCGTAGCGTGTCGTGGCGGCGGCCAGGGCGGCACGCCGTGCCCTGCAAGCGGAGGGCGTGCCGCTCCGCTCCCCCGGGGCGCAAAAGCCAGGGAAGGCTCGGGACCCTGACGCTCGGCACCGGAGCCGCGCTCAGCACCTCACGCCGGCGCGTGGTGGGCCACACTGCGTGTGCCTCCAGGAGGAGAACGGAAGGAGGAGGAGGAGGCGGGGCCTTAGGTGGAGCTTTCTATGGGGCCACGAAGCGCCGTACTGGGTGTGGCGGACGCATGTGGTACCTCCCCCTTTGAGGCCTTAGGTGGAGCTCTCTATGGGGCCACGAAACGTGTACTGGGTGGCTGAAACGCATGGCGGGGGGAGGAAGGGGAGGAGGGAGGGGGGAGGGGGGAGGGGGGAGGAGGGAGGAGGGAGGAGGGAGGGAAGGAGGAGGAGAAGGAGGAGGAGGAGGAGGGAGGAGGAGGAGGAGGAGGAGGAGGAGGAGGAGGAGGAGGAGGAGGAGGAGGAGGAGGAGGAGGAGGAGGAGGAGGAGAGGAGGAGGAGGAGGAGGAGGAGGAGGAGAGGAGGAGGAGGAGGAGGAAGAGCAGGAGGAGGAGGAGGCGGAGGAGGGGGAGGAGGAGGCGGAGAAGGAGGAGGAGGACAAGGATGCTGCTGATGATGATGATGATGATCATGATGATGATGATGATGATGATGATGATGATGATGATGATGATGCTGATGATTATGATGGTGATGATGATGATGAGGAGAAGGAGGAGGAGGGGGATGAGGGGGAAGGAGGAAGAAGGAGGATGAGGACGAGGAGGAGGACGAGGAGGAGGAGGAGGAGGAGGAGGAGGAGGAGGAGGAGGAGGAGGATGATGATGATGAGGAGGAGGAGCAGTGGGTGAGTGAGTGAGTGAGTGAGTGAGTGAGTGAGTGGGTGATTGAATGAGTGAATGAATGAGTGAATGAGTCAGTGAGGAGGGAGTGGGACGCGGGGCGTTGTTTCTTCAAAACGAAGACCCAACACCACAGGATGGTTGGGAAAAAATCAGGACGGGAGGTTTTGGGCCGTTTTCGATCTTTGGGGGCGCTTACCGGGCCTCGGGAGCGTGAAAAAACGACTCAGAACGAAACGCCGGTCCCAGGGAAAGGGTCGGGACTTCCAGGGGCCCCCCGCCAGAGCCCGACACGCTCAGGGACACGTTCGCGGCCGTCTTCGCGGGCGCCGACGACGACGAGGACGGCGCCCCCTTGACCGAGGAGCAAAAGCAGGAGAGGGCTCTGAGAGCCATGCGGGAAACTGCCACTGGCGCCTTCGGTGAAGCTCCTACGGGGCCATGATCCTCGCGAGGTGTGTGCCGAAATGGCCCGAGGCCGCTATGCGAAACCTGCCGCTGGCGCCTTCGGTGGAGCTCCCTACGGGGCCACGATCCTCGTGAGGGGTGCGCCGCAATGGCCCGAGGCCGCCATGCGAAGACTGCCACTGGCGCCTTCGGTGAAGCTCCCTATGGGGCCACGATCCTCGTGAGGGGTGTGTCGAAATGGCCCGAGGCCGCCCTGCGAACCTTGCCACTGGCGCCTTCGGTGGAGCTCCCTATGGGGCCACGATCCTCGTGAGGGGTGTGCCGAAATGGCCCGAGGCCGCCATGCGAACCCTGCCACTGGCGCCTTCGGTGGAGCTCGGCCGCTATCGTCGTGAGTGGTGTGCCGTAGTGGCCCGAGGCCGCCATGCGAACCCTGCCACTGGCGCTTTCGGTGGAGCTCCCTATGGGGCCACGATCCTCGTGAGGGGTGTGCCGAAATGGCCCGGGGCGGCCATGCGAGTTCCGCCACTGGGGCCTTAGGTTGAGCTCCCAATGGGGCCACGAAACGCGCGAGGGGTGTGCCGCAATGGCCCGAAGCCGCCATGCGAGTTCCGCCACTGGGACCTTAGGTGGAGCTCCCAATAGTGCCACGATCCTCGTGAGGAGTGTGCCGAAATGGCCCGAGGCCACCATCCGAGTTCCGCCACTGGGACCTTCGATGGATCTCCCAATGGGGCTACGAAGCGTGTGAGTGGTGTACCGACATGGCCCGAGGCCGCCATGCGAGTTCCAACACTGGGGCCTTCGGTGGAGCTCCTTATGGGGCCACGGTCCTCGTGAGGGGTGTGCCGAAATGGCCCGAGGCCGCCAGGCGAGTTCCGCCACTGGGGCCTTAGGTGGAGCTCCCTATGAGGCCACGAAACGTGTGAGTGGTGTGCCGAAAGGCCCGAGGCCGCCATGCGAGTTCCGCCACTGGCGCCTTCGGTGAAGCTCCCTATATGGCCACGATCCTCGTGAGGGGTGTGCCGAAATGGCCCGAGGCCGCCATGCGAGTTCCGCCACTGGGACCTTAGGTGGAGCTCCCAATGGGGCCACGATCCTCGTGAGGGGTGTGCCGAAATGGCCCGAAAGCGCCATGCGAATTCTGCCACTGGGACCTTAGGTGGAGCTCCCAATGGGGCCACGAAGCGTGTGATGAGTGTGCCGAAATGAACCGAGGCCGCCATGCGAATTCTGCCATTGGGACCCTAGATGGAGCTCCTTATGTGGCCACGAAGCGTGTGAGGGGTGTACCGAAATGGCCCGAGGCCGCCATGCAAGCCACTGGGATCCTAGGTGGAACTCCCAATGGGGCCACGAAGCGTGTGAGGGGTGTACCGAAACAGGGACATGCGGAGAGCAAATGCAAGGATGGGGGAGGAGGGGGAGGAAGAAAGGGAGGAGGAGGAGAGGAGGAACGCGGGGCATCGTCTCTTCAAAACGAAGACCCAACACCACAGGATGGTTGGGAACCACGACGTCGCACGTCTGGGGCGGTTCTCGCCTGATTTCGGCACCCGGGGGCTGGACCAACAAGAACGGATCCAGGGCGAAACGCGACCCCCATCGGGAAGCGGTCGTCGCGGATTGGAAGCATCACCCCAGCAAACAACCCTCATGGCAGCAAAGTTGGAGAGGCGGGTCTCCGGCGACATCGCCGCCAGGCAGGACGTCGTCGGAGAACCCTCGAGCGCAACGCTCATAGGGAACTACCCACGGGGAAGCGGTCGGGACCCCCTCAGAGAGAGCCGAAACATTAGCCTGGCGAAGGACCCAACCATATGCAGTAGTGAATACCGCAGTTGCGAATACCATCTTCGCCCGCGCTCCCCATGTGGCCAGGGCTTCCCGCCGGAGCCCGACATGCTCAGGAACGCGTTCGTGGCCGTCTTCGCGGGCGCCGACGACGACAAGGACGGCGTCCCTCTGACCGAGGAGCAGAAGCAGGAGAGGGCTTTGAGAGCCATGAGGGAGGTGGTGGCGTTCCACGTCGACAAGGAAGAGGACGACGCCCAGGCGCGGTGGTTGAAGCAGCACAACTATGGGGCCACGATCCTCGTGAGGGGTGTGCCGAAATGGCCCGGGGCCGCCATGCGAACCCTGCCACTGGCGCCTTCGGTGGAGCTCCCTATGGGGCCACGATCCTCGCGAGGGGTGTGCCGAAATGGCCCGAGGCCGCCATGCGAACCCTGCCACTGGGGCCTTCGGTGGAGCTCCCTATGGGGCCACGATCCTCGTGAGGGGTGTGCCGCAATGGCCCGGGGCCGCCATCCGAACCCTGCCACTGGCGCCTTGGGTGGAGCTCCCTAGTTATGGAAACACGATCCTCGTGTTGTGCCGAAGCGGCCCGAGGCCGCCATGCGAACCCTGCCACTGGCGCCTTCGGTGGAGCTCCCTATGGGGCCACGATCCTCGTGTTGTGCCGAAGCGGCCCGAGGCCGCCATGCGAACCCTGCCACTGGCGCCTTCGGTGGAGCTCCCTATGGGGCCACGATCCTCGCGAGGGGTGTGCCGAAACGGCCCGAGGCCGCCATGCGAACCCTGCCACTGGGGCCTTCGGTGGAGCTCCCTATGGGGCCACGATCCTCGTGAGGGGTGTGCCGCAATGGCCCGGGGCCGCCATCCGAACCCTGCCACTGGCGCTTTGGGTGGAGCTCCCTAGTTATGGAAACACGATCCTCGTGAGGGGTGTGCCGAAGTGGCCCGAGGCTGGCGCCTTCGGTGGAGCTCCCAATGGGGCCACGAAACGTGTGATGGGTGTGCCGAAATGGCCCGAGGCCGCCATGCGAACCCTGCAGCTGGGACCTTCGGTGGAGCTCCCTATGGGGCCACGATCCTCGTGAGGGGTGTGCCGAAATGGCCCGAGGCCGCCATGCGAACCCTGCCACTGGCGCCTTCGGTGGAGCTCCCTATATGGCCACGATCCCCGTGAGGGGTGTGCCGAAATGGCCCGAGGCTGGCGCCTTCGGTGGAGCTCCCAATGGGGCCACGAAACGTGTGATGGGTGTGCCGAAATGGCCCGAGGCCGCCATGCGAACCCTGCCACTGGCGCCTTCGGTGGAGCTCCCTATGTGGCCACGATCCTCGAGGGGTGTGCCGAAATGGCCCGCGGCCGCCATGCGAACCCTGCCACTGGGCCTTCGGTGGAGCTCCCCTTGTGGCCACGAAACGTTGTACTGGGTGGGTGAAACGCAGGGAGGAGGGAGGAGGAGGGAGGAGGAGGAGGAGGAGGAGAGGAGGAGGAGGAGGAGGAGGAGGAGGAGGAGGAGGAGGAGGAGGAGGAGGAGGAGGAGGAGGAGGAGGAGGAGGAGGAGGAGAAGGAGGAGGAGGAGGAGGAGGAGAAGGAGAGGAAGGAGGAGACGCGCGGCACCGTCTCTTCAAAACGAGGACCCAACACCACAGTATGGTAATGAAAAACACTCTCATAATAAGCACCCCGGCAAGCGAAGCCGTTCAGCGAACGCACCCATGGATGGAATCGAACAAGACAGCGCTGCTCAGTGAACGCCAAGGGCCCTTCCGTAAACGCCCAGTCTGGGGTTCAGGGCGGTTTGTCCTCCCCTGGCTGGAGCCGCGGGTGGACAACGGCATCATATCGGCGGGTGTCAGGGTTAGAGTAGAGGATCGACTACAACATTGATGTATCCCAGATTTGATTTCTCGTTGAGTGTACCAGCGAATACGCTCGTCGATTTACCAACATTGCACGCATTTACCGTACGTAAATTCGACGAACAAATCAATTATGAGGTACATCGGTCCACGATGATTCGCACAACACACAACTGCTTGTGTGTGAGAGAGAGTGTGTGTAGTGCTGTGTGTACTGCTGTGTGTAATGCTGTGTGTTGTGATTGTGTTGTGTGTGTTGTGTGTGTGTTGTGTGTGTGTGTTGTGTGTGTGTGTGTGTATGTTGAGTGTGTGTGTGTGTGTGTGTGTGTGTGTGTGTGTGTGCGTTTGTGTGTGTTGTGTGTTGTGTCTGTTGAGTGTGTGTATTCAGTGTGTGTGTGTGTTGTTTGTTTGTGTGTGTGTGTGTGTGTGTGTGTGTGTGCGATTTGTTCGAAGACTCGACGAACGAACCAATCAATTCTGTAGTCGATCCCCTGCTCGAAGGGTGTGCGCGCGGGCACGGGCGCTCGACTCCGGCGCTGCTCGCAAGGGGTAAGGGCGGGGCCAAGGGGGCCAGAGCCGAACCGCGCCTGCCCCCCGGACCGCCGCGCGCAAGTCCCTCGCGCCCCCGCGCCGCTCCCTTGGGGACGAGCCTCCGCTCCGGCGATCCATGCTGCCCAGACCGCGTCGCGCGAAGCGCGGGCAGCTGCGCGCCCTCCGTGGGGGACGGCGGGTTCGGGGGGGCGTGAAGGAAGGTAGGGCAGGGGCCCAGGAGGGGGGGGGGGGGTTGCTCCTGGACGACGGGAGCGCGCGCATCCTGCTGGGTCGGTCCCCGATCCCCCGGCCTGGGGTCACCCCCCTCTCTTGAGACGACCCCTCCCTCGTCCCGCACGGAGCCCCCGGTGGATCGTGCCGATCACGGAGCCGCGACGTCGCCGGGGCGCCTCCCACGCGGAGCATATGCCCAGCCTGCCCCCGCGAGCGCGCCTCTTCCGCCCCCCCCCCCTCTGCTCCCTGCCCTTCGAGCGTGCTCTTCGACCTGCCCTGGCGACCCTGCTGCTTTGCCCCCCTCCGTCGTGCCCCTGCAACCTCGTCGCCATCTCCACTCAGGGCGTGAATCTCGTCCACCGCCTCCTCCTGCTCCTCAATTATTCTTCTCCTTGCCTTAGTGATCCTCCCCTCCCCCTCCCCGTCCCCTTCCTCCTCCTCGTCCTCCAATGGTTTCTCCTCTTCCTCCTCCTTCTCCTCCTGCTCTGGCTTCTGCTGGTGCTGCTGCTGATCCTCCTCCAGGTTCTCCAGGTCTTGCAAGTCCCTCAAGCCCTCATCCTCCTTCTTTTTTCCTTTCCCCTTGTTTTTCGAGGCGATGCTCGCCCTTCTCTACGACCACTGTCTATGCTGCAGCATTCCCTGCCCCGCCCCCTCCCCCATGTGTAGGTACCAGGGCGCTCCGGGAGATCTCGGCGTGCTGATGGGGGGCAGCAGCATGTGAGGCGGGGAGGGAATCAGAATAGAGCAGATGATAATGGATAAGAGGGGGCGAAAAGGTGAGGAAAAAGGAAGCGAAGGGAAGGGGGGGATAGGAGACAGGGAGCCGGAAAGAAACGAAAGGCGGGCGAGGATATGGGCGAGGAGGGAAACAGGAGACGAGAGTGGCGCCAGGGTGAAGTGAAGGAGGTGGCGGGACAGACAACACATCGGGGGAAATCTCACAAACCTCTGGGCGGTGGAGGTTTAGAACGTGTCCTCTTCCGTCTTCCCTCTTCTCCTTTGGGGAGGTCTTAACAGTGTTCCCCATTAGTAACGAACCTCTCCCTTAGGCAACTCGCAGCCAACTCGTCCTCCATACCCCCTCTCCCACCATCCCTGGCACCGTTGGGGCGTGGAATAATGCCAATCTCTGAATGGTAGGTTTCCCACACATCTTAAGTGGGTTCTTGTTTTATATGCATACCTCCGCGCAGGAACCTCACCTCACACCTCACCCCCTCCTCCTGACAACACCATCCCATCGAGATCACCGTCAGCATGATCACCCGCTCGCTCTCTCGCTGATTCACTCATCACGCACTCATTCTTTTCATGTCATAACCACATCATGGTCATCGGGAATCATCATACTCAACCAACTCACACTCACTCTCATCCACGCAGTCACATTCACTTATCACCCACCCACTCATCATCATATCATCGTCACTTAGCGTGATCGCCAAGATCGTGTTATCGCCAAGAATCGCGTCATCATCCCACACCCTCCCCTTCTCATCACCATCACTATCACCATCGTCATCATCACTCACATTCGCTCGCACACTCATCACTATCATCACCAGCACCATGACCATCACCATACACACATCATCATCGCCATCGTCATCGTCAGCGTCACCGTCCAACATCATCATTACTACCACCCTCATCACTCACCATCACGTTCATCACATCAGCACCATCACCATCAGCTTCATCATCGCCACCATCCAACATCATCGTCATCACCATGCGGCGCAGACTTGCATGGCAGCGCAGACTTGCATGGTAAAGGGGTTCGTTTCGGGGGTCTCTTTGGCGCTGGTCTGGAGCTGCGCAGAGGCGCCAGTGGGCAGAAGGTTCGAGTGAGGGGCGGAGCGGGAGTGTGAGGATGTGGTGGAGGAGGGGGAGGAGGAGGGGGAAGAGGAGGTGCGGGAGGACGTGGAGACTTGAAATGGTTGGTCCGTTTCGCCTGAGACATCCTCACAACGCTCCGCTTCGCCTGAGACCTCCCCTGCAGGGAGGAAGGAGAGGTGCAGGAGGAGAACAGGCGGGATGCAGATGAGGAGGGAAAGGGGGAGGAGGTGGAGAAGGAGGGGGGAGAAGACGAGGAGTAGCAGGGGGAATATAAGGAGGAGAGGGAGAAGGCGGAAGAGAAGGAGAAGGAGGAGGAGGATGAGGAGAGGAGGAGGAGGAGGAGGAGGAGGAGGAGGAGGAGGAGGAGGAGGAGGAGGAGGAGGATAGTAGTAGTAGTAGTAGTAGTAGTAGTAGTAGTAGTAGGAGGAGGAGGAGGAGGAGGAGGAGGAGGAGGAGGAGGAGAAGGAAGAGGAGGAGGAGGGAGAGGAGGAGGAGGAGGAGAAGGAGGAGGAGGAGGAGGAAGAGGATACGAATTATAACAAGTAGGGCGAGAAGGACGATGCTGATGAGGAGGAGGAGGACGCAGAAACGGGAGGAGGGCACGCGCCATCCGAAAAGGAACAGGGCGATGGGCAAGCCAACTAGATCCTCATGTGGGGGTCCTCGCTTCGGAGTGTTTCTTTATGGAATTCTTATACACCGCCCCCCTCCTCTACCAGCAAACTCCTGCGTGCACCACCCCTCCTTTCCGAGGCCACTTCCCTCCTGCCCGCTCGAGGGCGGTGCGCTTCCAGCATGGTGGCTAATGCCTGAACCCCCACTCCACGCGTGCCCGCTCGAGGATGGTGCACTTCCCACATGGCAACACATGCCTGAACTCACACTCCATGCGTGCCCGCCCGAAGATGGTTCACATCCCGCATGGCAACGAATGCCTGAACCTCCATTCCGTGCGCGCTCGATCGAGGATTGTGCACTTCCCGCTTGGCTGCTAATTCGTGGACCCTTGTCCCACGCACACCCGCTCGAGGATCGTGTATTTCACACATTCCCAGACGCTGCTCCCACGCGCCCCAAGGATTCCCGAGGCACGATTCCTCATGGTATGGATATGCGTCCCGAATTTCCAAGACGGCCCGTGCCGGCAACCAGAGAGACCAGGATGGGCCACAATGCCTCGACGACGGCTCACAAAGGCCCCAAGGTAGCCGAATATGGATTCAAGATTGCCCACTATGCCTCAAAAGAGAACCCAAAACGGCCACAGAAGGACCTCCAACAGGGCCCGACGAAACCAAAATCATTGATCCGCTGTCGGTTTTCGACTGGCTTTTGTAGTTTAGCCTTCCCGGGCTGCCGTCAGCTCGAAACGGCCAAAGAGGATTTCACGATGAACCACGGGAGGCCCAAGGAGGCTTCCAAGAGGCCTCCAAAAGGCCAGCAGGAATCTCCCAGGAGGCCCTAAGTGTCCTCCTCCTCCGCCTCCTCCTTTTCATCCTCCTCCTTCTCCTCATCCGCTTCCTCTCCTGCCTACTCTTCTTCCTCCTCCTCCTCCTCGTCCTCCTCCTCCTCCATTCCTTTCCCTTCGAAATGACTTCTCCCTGTCGAACCCCGAAGCAAGTTTTTAGAGCTGGCCAGATTTTCTCGTCGTTTATGACTCTGGAGCTTCAGAAGTGATAACAGCTTCACAGAGGGAGGGCGGGTCGTTTTCAAAATGTGGCTCTCGCCTTAGCGCCGCGCGCGTTCGTTGTACAAATAATTGCAACAACTTCACGGATTGAGGGCGGGTCTTTTCAAAATGTGGCTCTCGCCTCAGCGCCGCACACATTCGTTGTAAACATTACAAGCAGTTTCGCGGATTGAAGGCTGTTCTTTTTTCGAAATATGGCTCTCGCCTTAGCGCCGCGCACATTCTTTTGAAACATTTGCTAAGAGTTTCACGGATTGAGGGCGGTTCCTTTTCAAAATGTGGCTCTCGCCTTAGCGCCGCGCGCATTCGTTCTAAAACATTTGCAGCAGTTTGACGGATTCCCATGATCAACGTACCAGAAATGGTGTGTGGGAAGGATTCTGGATTATGCGGGTGCAACAGTTATGTTGGTTCGCGTTGTTGAAGGTCCAACAATGGCGTTCTGGCACGATTCCCGATCGTCAGGACGCACCAGTCAGGCTGATCCGTGGCGTTAACATCCCGAGAACAATGTTTTGGCAGTGTCAAGATCTTCAAACGGTTGCCTTCCAACGAGGCAGTTCCCTCAATAGAAATGAACCGTTGTAGGGGCCTGTGAAGAGGGAGCTTGGAGGGAGGGTTAATTCCAGCATCGTTGGTGACTCTTGGATTTGCACTGGTCCTCCTCCTCTCCTGCCTACTCATCCTCCTCCTCCTCCTCTTCCTCTTCCTCCTCTTCCTCCTCCTCCTCCTCCTGCTTGTCCTCTTTCTCCTTCGCCTCCTCCCCCCCTGGGCTTTCCTCGTCAATCGAAATGATCTGACTGATCTTGGCGTTCGAGCTTTGCACCTGCCAACCGGACGGGGCAGCATGGCTCGCGGAGGATTGGCGCACGGCGGCTGAGGGCGGAGAGCGTGAACGAAGGAGGAGGAAGAGGAGGAAGAGTAGGCAGGAGATGATGATGAGGAGGAGCAGGCGGAAGAGGATGAGGAGGGGGGAGGAGGAAGAGTAGGCAGGAGAGGAGGAGGAGCAAGAGGAGGAGGAGCAAAGAGAGGAGGAGGAGGAGGAGGAGGAGGAGGAGGGAGGAGGAGGAAGGAGGAGGAGGAGGAGGAGGAGGAGGAGGAGGAGGAGGAGGAGGAGGAGGAGGAGGAGGAGGAAGCCTTGCCGCGAGCGGCGGCAGCTCCACGCCGACGACGTGGGCAATGCCAACCTGAAACAATCGTCAGTGCCACTGCCCGCGCACCAAGCGGGGCGCGCGGGTGCACCCGCAGGGCGACGAGCTGCTGGCTCGCAGCGCGAGGCAAAATGGAATGACGACTGAAGCATGTCGGTGAACCGCCGGGGCCGTGCAGGTCTTGAGTGGCCACGGAGCTCGCGGCGGAGGGCGGCGCCCACTACAGTGGAGGCCGGTCCACGAGAAACCTTCCACAAGAGACGCAACCCTGAGACCCCAGCACGTCCATTGATCTTCGGTGTGGGAACGCACGCCTTCCACAGCAAAACAAGCCATCGACGCCCAAGGAACCCAGGGCACCCTGTAGGCAAGCAGGGCGTCTCTGGGCATGGGCCTCCACTGTGTCAGGGCAGCTGCGGTCTGGAGTGGCAGGCGGCCAGGCGGAGGTGAGGCCACGAGGGGCCGTGCCCTCGCCTCTGCAAGGGCATCGAGGAGGCACTGGCTAGCGAGGCGGAGGCTCCGTCACGAACGGCGAGACGATATATATATATACACATATACATACATATAAATATATCCCTCGTGGTTTTTTCATCTATATATGTATATATGTATATGAGCGTTGCAGCTTTTTGACACCCAGCTTCGGGCCCCGGGGCCATCACATATCGAGGCGGCTCGAAGCAGATCCACTGGAAGATGGGGTCCACAATTCCTCTGGTGATTTCTCGCAATGTTGTATCTGTCTCGCAACATCGATCCGGGGAGGAGGAAGAGAGCGGGAGCGGAGAGCAAAAAGAAGAGGAGGAGTTCGCGCGGTCCTATGATGAATGGACCTCTGTCGAGTATACTGCTCTCACATGGCTCCGCTTCGCTGACCGTCCTGTGCGGTCTAGTCAGAGCCATCTGAATCAAAGCAAGGGTTATGATGCCCATCGTACTTAAGTGCCAGATCCCATAAACAACTTCGAGCACCCAGGAAAGTACCGAAACAGTGTCGAACGAGTATCGTCTTCCAGGGCCCCACACGTGAAAACCATCAAGTTTCGACATTTTCTTGGTGCTCGAACTTCTTCCTGGTGATTCAGTCAAAAGTAGGTTGGAACACCATCAAACAATGGGTCTCTCACCCACCAGCCGCGGCAACGGCGCCGATCCATCCGGTGATACATCGGCCCAATGAAAGTTCCTGGAAATTTCATCACGACGCTGGCCGGCGGAAGTCGACGGAAGTAAAACGAGGCGGAAGACGGGGGAAGGCCGCCGGAAGGCTTGCCAATGTCAGCGGAAGTAAACGACGCCCCTTCCGAACCCCCTACCCCCGTAGAAGCCTAGCAATGTTGTCTTCCTCCGTGGGCCGGGCGGGATCCCGCCTGGCTTATTCCGCTTTTATATTATAAGTTTAGTTCAGGACGATCAAAATCACACCCAATAAAAATGGGGTAGACCAAAATCCCGGGCCGTTCACGGATCCCACCATGATGGGATCGACTCGAAGTAAGATGGGGCTCATAAGCTGCAGTATTATTGCCGTGTTGGGATCGTCTGGAGGTCATCTTGAGATCACATCCCGGTCATGTTTGGATCACGCAATCATCGCGTGGTCATTATGAGACCACCCTGGGTGCGCTTGGATCAGGAATGTTGCCATCGGGCCATCTCGGCGTCACGCGTCGCTCATGTGTTTCGTCATCTGCGAGTCGGCCTGAGACGGTCCAGAATCCATGGCGGGATCGCGTTGGGGTGGCATCATCCTGGGTCCTCTGGACGTTATCGTCCGTTGCCTGAGGCATTCCTGGAAGCATGTTGTGGCCATGGGACGTCTTGGGATCCCGTGCGTGCGAACGCTGAGCACGCGCGCGCGACTTTTCATCATGCCGGCGGGTTTAGATACATATTATTCCTCTTGCGCGTTTCCAAGGAAACTTTTGTTGGAGCCAAGTAGGCCGTCGCGCTGACTTCACGGGAGGGAGGGCCTCGCCACGATCGAGCAGGGGACTGCGGGAAAAGGAGCCCGACCGAATGTAAGGAGCGGCGTGCCAATGCTCAGTCAGAAGGGGAAACGGAGGAGGGACGGGAAGATGGGGAGCAGAAACAGGAAAATAAGTAGGGGGAACATGATGCGGAACAAACCCAACGCCAGCGCGCGGCGCCGGGGAACCCTGCCAACGTCCCACTTCGACGCGCGGCGCTAACACGAAAGCGCAATTTCGAGTCGCTGCTGCCTCGCCCTGTTCCTCATCCCAAATTCAAAATATTGTTCGGATGTGCTTTCAATCGTGTCTGTGAGGGCCATACTGCGGGAGCGTCAGTCGATCCTTGTTGCGGGGACTGGGACGCGTTTCGGCCATGTCGTTCAAGGCCACGTCCAGTTTTCACGGCGAAGTCATGTCGGACTGAGGCTGGGATGCGGATGGCGATGACATGGAGAGAAATGCCGGCGAGGAACGAATGCGTACCATCGGAGAGGGACTGCGGTGGAGTTCGGGCGGTGGGCCTGACTGGAGCTTGTCAACGGCGACGTGGAGACAGGAACGCGTCGGGTAGCAGAAGCCAGGGCGCGGCAGAACCGACTGCACACCGCGCACCGATGTTGATCTTAGCTGCCCGATACGCAACACGCAACACGTAGCGCGTTGATACGGAGCTCAACACGTAGGCTGAAAACGTAGGTCCGACGCGATACATTCGCCAACACGTGGCCAAATACATGGAGCCAACACGCAACGTATTGACACGGACGTCTTGAACACGGAACGTATTGCGTTTCAAAACGGGCGTATCGAGGCAACTAAGATGCTGATAGAGGAGGGGGGGGCGAGGAAACACAAACGGCATGACCATACACTCTCGGCGGTCCGCGCGGCTTTCTTGCATCTGCGCTGGGCCCCCTTCCCCGGCGCGCGGGGCGCGCCATGGGGCGGCGCCGGAGGCGCCGCCAGGGGGGCACCGCCGAGTTCAGACGAGCGCGTTCCACTACTCGCAAAGTGACTGCTCGCAAATGGCCCGGATCCCCCCGCGGAGGATCCACGGTACACTACATCAAAACAGGCACGGGTGTTCTTCGGACGTTTGCGAGTGGGCACTTTGCGAGTAGTGGAACGCGCTCGGTGACAGTTTATGTTCATGCAACTCTTCTGCCTCCAGAGGGGCAGATCGGCCGCGGAGGAAGGCCAAGGAGCGCGCCGCGCTCAGAGCGTGCAGCACTTCACGCGCGGTGCTGGCGGGCTCAGGCTCCACGGGGCGTCGCAAGGGCTGACGGACACATAGTGAGTGGCTGACGAACACATAGCGAATGGCAACAAGCTTCAGAGCGGGTCGGGGCCGCGGGTATCCGCCGGCCCCCGCGGAAGGCGGCGCCGCGGCCGCTGTCAGTTTCTCCAGTCCGACTTCTTAGCCTCCTCCTCCTCCTCCTCCCTCCTCCTCCTTACTCGGAAGGGCGGAAGAGAATGGGGCGAACATGAAAGGACGATGACGAGGTGAAGAGACTGGGGAGGGCTGATGATGGGGACGAGGACGAGGAGAATCAGCAACAAGATGGGAGCACTCGGTTGTGCTCAACGGGACAGGAGACAGGTCTTCACGTGAGGGGGCACCAGGAAGGCCAGCATCTCTTCGTCCGAATCGAAGGCGATGTTGCCTGCCGACGCCGCGGACGACAACACGAGGGGAACCGAGGAGGAGCACGAGCAGGAAGGGCATAAACCCCGCATGGGTACCGCAAACTTGCCGCACGCAGGAAACGCTGCGCGCACCGACAAAAGGCACGGGCTCGAGCGCCGTGCGAGTCAAGTGTGATGGGGCATCCCACGCGCTCCTTGGCTGCTGCCGGCAGCCGCAAGAGCAAGGCCGCGCAGGCGGGAGGGGGCGCCGACAGCAGCAGCAGCGCTCCCCCCTCCGCGGCCCCTGCCTCGGGGGCCTCGCAGGACGGCGAGCGCACGCGACCGCGTGGAGCCCCCGGGGGGCAGCCGATGCCGGCGGCACCTGCCGACCACGCCTGCTGTGCAGCTTCGTGCCGTGGCTGCTTCTCTCTGTCGCGGAGCTGTGGGATGACACCGCCGCCATCGTGTTGCTGCCTGCTGGACTCTTGAGGGGCAACGGTACGGTGGGGACCAGCTCAGGAGGGGAACATCAAGCTGGATCAATTGGCGACACATCGCCGATAGATCAGCAATAGGCCCCCGATAGCGAAACCGAACGTTCCTGGGCGGGGTGGGCTATCAGGCCCGTGTCTGCGATGAATGGGCGATTGGGCATCGATGCATCCCCCCCCCTGGGCCTATCCTCTCCCATCGTTGCCCCTGAACTCTGGGATGGTGATCGGATGGCGATGCAAGGGGCGATCACGGCAGCACATGCGCGCGGGAGTATAACACGCTCGATGTCGGCATCGGTCGGGCAGAACGCGGACAGCATGAGGATTTGGAGCTCGTCTCTGCCCTAGATGAGCCGGACCCGGCACGCCCCCCGCACACAGTGCAGGCAGCGGCATCCCGAAGATGGTGGAGATAGGCGCGCATGTCGGTCAGCGTCCGTCTATTTGACCGACAGGGGCGCCGCAAACCTGGCGGCAAAGAGGAAGACTGAAGCCAGGCGAATCCGGCAATGACTATGACTACCTACCAGACCACCCCAACCCAACCCGAAGACCCGAATTGCGGGCTGGGGAATGTACGGGCTTCATGTGTGTTTTTGTCCATGTTCCTCGCCCCTCCCCCACCGGAAATTGAGGGCAAATCGGAGTCGTCGGGTTGGGTTGGGGTGGTTCGGTGGGCGGTGACTAGACGAGGAGGAGGAGGAGGAGGAGGAGGAGGAGGAGGAGGAGAAGGAGGAGGAGGAAGAGGAGGAGGAGGAGGAGGAGGACGAGAAGGAGGGGGGAGGGCATCTCGCTGGGCCAGTGGCCGGCGCGAGCTGCGCTCCAAGCACAGCTGTGTAGTCGCACTGCCAGGTAACCCGCTCTCCAGAAGACCTCTCCCACCTCACACGGGGCACCTCTTGCGTGAATCAGCGTGCGGGGGTGGGGGGGCCGAACTGCCATACACTGTCCTCGTGTGCGTGGCTGAAGTGTGATTCCGTTGCGCGGCTTGTTGTTGTTGTTGTTGCTGCTGTTATTGTTGTTGCGTTGCGTTGACTTCCCACGTCTAAGACATAATTGATGTTGGTCCCCCCCCTCTGGTGCACCTTGTGCTTCGTCCAAATGAAATGCCCCTCCCGGGGCTCGCACCCGGATTTCTACAAGTGAAAGTTAAGGGGCGTAAGACTGCATTGCTGACCCCCGAACTGCAACAACGGCTCCCGCCTGGCATTTCTTCGCAACTCATTCAAGATCGCGCGCTTGCGCGGGACGTCCTCACAATTTATCCATCAATCGCACTCTCGCTTGGCGATTCCTTCCAATGTGCTGAGACGCCGCGCCCTCGACACTCAAGAATCACGCTCTCGCTCTGGACTTCCTCACGATTGACTTGACATCGCGCCGTTGCTATAGACACACTTCCCCGCGATTCATGCAGGTCTGCCGCTTCAGCGACCCGCCCGCTCGACCCGGCCGTCTTGGCCCGCCCGCCCGACCCGCCCATGAGGGTCCGCCCGGCCCGACCCGCCCGTCTGGTTCTTGCGGGGTGCTGCGCATGGCACGTCCGCCGGCTTCCGCTTGCCGTTCGCCGGAGGAGCCGCCCTTGTCTCACTTCCGCCTGCCTTCCACGGCCTCTCCACCCCGAGCGCGCGAGATCGGCCCTTCAAGCCCTCGAGGGCGAGGCCATGTCAGGAGCGGCCTGACGTAGCCGCAGCTTTCGGACTGCAGACGGCTGAGCTTAGTGCGAGAGGGTCACCGCCCTCGTGGGAGGTTAAGGGTTAAGGGCAGCTCGCAGCTGCCGTCTTTCCTGCACTACCGCACCCTGCTCACGTGTCGCTGTAGGGTGCATCTCGTGGCAACACATGGCTCGTAATGCATTCCACCCTTTTCTCATCACTGCCAGAAGCCTTTGGCAATTCAATTCGTGCCTCGCTCTGCATGTGCCGCGGTGCATATACTCAGAGAGCGCCCTGGCATCACCACGCACGCGTTGACCCACGCGCGCGCATGTTTCGACGTACGCGCAGGTACGACGCGCGAATATCTGGATATCCTTGGATGTGCAGGCTCATGGATGTTCACTTGCGCCGTAGAAGCATGTTTGCACACATGTATTTGCTCGCTCGCCTACATGCAAGCTCCGAGCACGCAACGCATTATGCGTGTCAACGTGTATTTGTTCAGGCCAACACAGGCGACGTTTGTGAAGATGCATGCGCATGTCGCTACTTGTACACGTCCAACTGAATTGATCGCCCTTTGGCGAGCTGCATGTCGTCAATCCCTGGAGACGGGTCATGTGCCGGCATGCGTGCTCAGAGCTGGTATTGTATCGCCTTGCGACGCGTGTGTTTTACAGACCGCGGAGAAGCGAATTGTTGATGGGACTATGCGAATATTACGCGACAGCGGTTGTTGATAAAAACTATGCGAAAAACACTGGGACGTGGCAAGCGCGAAGCTCCACGTGACTGCAGCTTCGGCTTACGACGATGACTTTGTACGCAAACCATGAAATCTGATCATAATCTAGTGCGCATGCACCACATGCAGGTCTCTTTCAAACACTCTTCCACTTCTTTCTGTTGATCCTTCCAGCTGCCAAACCTTGCAGACAACGTTGGCACCGCGTCGGGGTGGGGGCAAGCGGCGATCCTCTCAGCATGAGCTCTTTGTACATGCTGCAGATCTGCCCACCCTCAAGACCCTTCTCGCCGAATGTTGGGCAGAAGCTGACATGATGACGCGCGCGAGGCCACGGCGAGGACGATGAGAACAATGTGAGCAGGCGAGAACTATAGATATTTGAAAGGACCTCTCCATTAAGAGGAAGATCAGGATGATTATGCATGATGGTGGTGCTGCTGCTGCTGATGATGACGATGATGGTGGTGGTGGTGATGATGATGATGATGATGATGATCAGGCTGGAGGAATGGGAGGATGAGAGGGATTAACTGGAGAACATGGGAGGGACGTGTCTCACCGTAGCATGTTCCCAACTCCCGCAAACCTCTCATGCGTACCCCCCACAACGGAACGCCCATTGCCGTGGACTGCACCCCGCCGTATACGCTCCGCGGGCCCATGTGCCGCCACGACAACCCTTGCATTTGTACATGCCAGGTCTTTGCCAATGATGCTGCGCGCTCAGAGGGTGCATACCAAATGGTTGCTGCTGCGTGCGCCACGGGTGCTCTGGCACGCTGCCTTGCAACGCCACGTGCGCTTTGGACAGGCACCGGTGCGCTCGCCTGTCCAGTGAGACTGCGAATGCGCTGGCCTTCTTCCAGAAGCCCTCCACCTCGGAGGCTGGCGACCCAGACGTCCAGGAGGAGGAGGAGGAGGAGGAGGAGGAGGAGGAGGAGGGAAAAGGAGGAAAGAGGAGGAGGAGGAGGAGGAGGAGGAGGAGGAGGAAGGAAAAGGAGGAAAGAGGAGAGGAGGAGGAGGAGGAGGAGGAGGAGGAGGAGGAGGAGGAGGAGGAGGAGGAGGAGGAGGAGGAGAGCCTTTTGGACTTTTTGACCCAGCACAGAGGTCGTGCAGGGGAGGGGGGGGAGGCCACCGACGGATCCGCAAAGCAACCACGCAGGGCATCCACCTACGGCTCGGCCGCAAGAGAGGCCCCGACGGGCAACAGAGCAGCTCCCTCGGAAAGGAGAGGGGGAGGAGGTCCCGCACACTGTGCCGCCAGCCGCTCGGTCAAGGCGCGCTGGACGGCCGCTGGCACTCCCTCACGCCGCGGGTAGAGCCCCTGCCGAATTCTCGACAATTTCTCGCGCCCCTGAGGCGATAGCTCACACCTTGCGGCAGGCTGGCGCCCGTCAGCCGTGGCGTACCGCCCACAGGTGGAGCAGAAAGCCTCCGCGGGTTGAATGCTTTCTCCGAAACAGGGTTCATGTCGGTCTCTTTCACGTCGCCCTTGGCGGGTTTGCGTTGTCTTGTCAAAATGTGTCGATCGATCGCATTCGCGAAGACAGGCTAAGGTTTTCGCCTGGCCAGCTCAATGGCATCTCAGTGGCCATCGATTGCAGACTGCCTTCAAAAGAGTGAGCACAACGCTGCGGCGTGTAAGGAGGATGGAGGGTCCTACCAGCAACGAGTTCAACCCTCGCCCCCGCCACAATCTCGTCGCGATCAAGGAGGCGCCTCGGCAAGTTGTCGCCGCTACACTCACGATCCTGCTCTGCGGCACCAGCAAGGGACAACGGCTAATGAATTACACTTTCATGTGGACCCGCACATGGAAAACGCGTCGGACGAATTCTGGATTGCCAAATTCGCAGCAGAAGGCGCTGGAACTCGCTCGCGTCGCTGCCGTTCCCCGCTCCACGGGTCGGCGGCCGCGGCCACGGCCAGCGCCTTCCTAGCCCAAACTCGGACCAGGGTGCCGATCGCATCCCACTGATCCATGTCCGGCTCGCCCTGCCGAACCGACTCCCGCCGCCCCAAGTCAGCCGCAAACCCCGCTATCCGATCGGCCAAGGCATTGCCCTAAATAAATCCATGTAATACTGACCTCCTCCGAACGGCCCTGGAAGGCCACTCGGATCCCAGACCACAAATCCTCATTGGCCCCATTGTTTCGCTCGTGCCTGCCACTGGCCCATTGTTTCGCTCGTGCCTGCCACTGGCCACTGTCGTGCCAAGGCTCGTGACCAGTAACAAAAAACGTTGGGTTTGCTACATGTTCTGAGCAGGGACCGGCCGTCCCGTCATTTCTTTATTCCTACCACGAAATGTTCTTAGAACCCAAGAATGTTCTAAAAACAAAAGCCATGTTCTTAGAACATAAACCCGATGTGATAAGACAATATAGCCCCGACCAGAAATGTTCCAATCACATTTCGTGGAAACCACACAAGGTTCTCGGAACATTGTTTGGTAGGACTATAGGCGAGCCAGGACGCTTCGCCACTGCTTAAATGTTCAAGAGCAGGCGCACACGCGGGCAGCTCTGAGCGAAGAACTGTTTGCCTGCGGCCTCTGAGGGGAGAAGAGAGGCCTCCGGCCAACTCCCAATCCCCTTCTCCTCCTCCTCCTCCTCCTCCTCCTCCTCCTCCTCCTCCCTCCTCCTCCTCCTCCTCCTCCTCCCTCCTCCTCTCCTCCTCCTCTCCCCTCCCCTCCTCTCCTCCTCCTCCTCCTCCTCCTCCTCCTCCTCCTCCTCCTCCCTCTCCTCCTCCTCCTCCCTCCTCCTCCTCCTCCTCCTCCTCCCCTCCTCCTCCTCCTCCTCCTCCTCCTCCTCCTCCTCCTCCTCCTCCTCCTCCTCCAACAATCGCCGCAATTACCGCACCTCCGCCGCAGAGGGTCCGAGCTGTGCACGCCCCCCGGCCCGTCGCCGAAAGCCACAGCACGCCCGCACGTGGGGTGGGCGCCTCGGTGATCGAAGGGCGGGGTCCGAGAGCCTCCGGCTTTTCCTAAGGGGAACCTCGGCGGGTGCGTGTACGACACGGGCGTGGCACCCCTGAGCCACAACGCCGGGCACTGCTCGTGCTGGGTCTCGGCCTGGCTGACGAGGGGCTGGCGGTTATCAAACTCGGGGCCCACGTTGCGCGGCAGCTCCAGATCTGGTGAAACAGCGTTTCAGGTTCTTGCTGGCAGCGAGGGCACAACGTATCAACGCCGTAACGACAGCTCCCCTGGCGGACTCTGGTCCACTGGCCCCCCCGAGACAGCAGCATTCTGCAAACTCACAATAGGGGGCAAACAAACCTACCTCGCTTTTGACCACCCTCGCTTCCAAGAGATACCAAGCGATGCCAAACTGCGGCCTGTACTGGTCAGGCCGCTTGACGAGGAGGCGCGTGGTATGACTTGGTTTTGCCTGGAAGCGAAAGCGGGGTAGGTCAAATCCGCCAGCTGTTGCGAATCGGTTGGTATCCTTCCCCGCCAAGCGCACATCCCCCCTCCCGCCCCCCAAACCCCTCTCCTTCGTGGTGGTCTGAAGCGCGTGTCCGGAGCTGGGACGCGAGGTCCTGAGCCGGGTCGTCAAGCAGCTCGGTGAGCTCAGCGCCACCTTGTTCAGAAACCCGGCTCGTCAGCACGGGGGAGCCTCCAGGCCTCGCCCGAACCCTGCACGGGCCTGCGTTGGGAGGCGGCCGCCGGCGGGATGCACCCGGCCTCGCACGAGGTGGCCACAGCCGCTCCGGCAGGGGCCCTCGCCCTCCTCCGACGACGGGTGGCGTGCCAGCGCCGAGGGGTCAGAGACTCCCAGGCCTCCTGGATGCGAGGGCGGAGGTCGGCGAGGACTTCCACAGCAGCAGGATGTGCAGCAGCGAGCCGTCGACGCAGCTCGGCCGCTGGAGATCCCTGCGACCCGAGCGCACGGCTGAAGCAATCGTGAGACAGCGGCCCGCTCCTTCACCCGCCCCGGCTTGAGCGGCTTGCCTTTTGAGCACTATCATGCTGGCCATCGCTCGGACGTCCATTCCCTGTGTTTTTTTGTCGGTTTCGTGCGTGGTTTCTTCGCCAAATGATCGAGGATGCTCCTCGATGGTCCTCGCCGAGAAAAAATGCACACGTCCGAGCGATGCCCAGGGCTTGAGCGGCTTGCCCTTTGAGCACCACCATGGTGTGAGAGGGGGGCTCCAAGTACCTGGTGCCCGAAGGCCGCCCGGGGAATGGCCCCCGTGGGCCAGAGCGAGCCACAGCAGTCTTCGAACGCCTGGCCGATCTCCTCACGTTACGAATTTTCAACAAATTATCCCAGTGCGACCCTGCCTAGGAGTTGGAGCCCCTAGGAAAGCAGCATTAGTAGTAACAGTAAAGCTAAGCTAAAGCTAAGATAAAGCTAAGCTAAAGCTAAGCAAAAGCTAAGCTAAAGCTAAGCTAAAGCTAAGCTGAAGCTATGCTAAAGCTAAGCTAAAGCTAAGCTAAGGCTAAGCTACCACTAAGCTAAAGCTGAGCTAAAGCTGAGCTAAAGCTAAGCTGAAGCTAAGCTAATGCTAAGCTAAAGCTAAGGTAAGCTAAAGCTAAGCTAAAGCTAAGCTGAAGCTAAAGCTAAACTTAAGCTAAAGCTAAGCTAACGCTAAGCTAACGCTAAGCTAAAACTAAGCTAACGCTAAGCTGAAGCTAAGCGAAAGCTAAGCTAAAGCTAAGCTAAGGCTAAGCTAAAGCTAAGCTGAAGCTAAGCTAAAGCTAAGCTGCAGCTAAGCTGAAGCTAAGATAAAGGAATGTTAAAGCTAAGCTAAAGCTAAGCTAAAGCTGAGCTAAATCTAATATACAGCTAAGCTAAAGCTAAGCTAAAGCTAAGCTGAAGCTAAGCTGAAGCTAAGCTAATGCTAAGCTAAAGCTAAGATACAGCTAAGCTAAAGCTAAGCTAAAGCTAAGCTACCACTAAGCTGAAGCTGAGCTAAAGCTAAGCTAAAGCTAAGCTAACGCTAAGCTAACACTAAGCTGAAGTTAAGCTAAAGCTAAGCTGAAGCTAAGCTAAAGCTAAGCTAAAGCTAAGCTAAGGCTAAGCTAACACTAAGCTAAATCTAAGCTGAAGCTAAGCTACAGCTAAGCTAAAGCCAAGCTACAGCTAAGCTAAAGCTAAACTAAAGCGAACGCTAAGCTAATGCTAAGCTAAAGCTAAGCTAACGCTAAGCTAAAGCTAAGCTAAATCTAAGCTGAAGCTAAGCTAAAGCTAAGCTAAAGCTAGGCTAAGGCTAAGCTAAACCTAAGCTGAAGCTAAGCTAAAGCTAAGCTGAA